TTTATTATTCTCAGGTCAGACACGTAAATATCATTTCCATACCTCTCACTGCCTCTTTAACATTGAGTCTTTACATCACTCACGGCCCTCAAACAACAGATTAAGACCAGCTCAACTGGTAAGATTGGTTGAGAAATAAAAAGTCAAAATATTTTATGCAATAAAACTATCAGGAGAAGATGAAAAGCAGTCAGTTCACTGATGTATTTAACAGAACCTGGAAAAAGAGTTAAACACCGACCTGAAACTGGAGAGAGGAGGAAAGTGACCATCAGAAGAAGCCCTCGCACCATGCTGGGTGATTCCAGGGGCCAAGCGCCTGAACTGCTCGCTCAGACCTGTGCTGCTGGGTCTGTCCCTGTGTCCTCTCAAGTGAGACAGAATGAAACTCCCTGGTTCATTCTTGCCTCTGCTCCAGGAAGTGTTTACTAAAGGTGTTGCACAACCTCGAAGCTGTGGTCCTGCAACAATGGCACAGCAGACGGAAGTCCTGGCAGCTCCCGCTCTTAGATTCCTTGATCATAAACTATTGTTTCTCTCCCCTTCCCCATACTCCCCACTCCAAAGTAGTATAACATTTCCCATATAGTACTATAGCCTGATAAGCCACAAGGAGGTAATTGCTTTGATGAATCCTGAAAAATGTGCCAGTCATTTATCATGTATTATTTAAATACATAAGTATTTAAATATATATATTTTATGTATGTATATCTTTTTGCTATGTCAGCAAAAAGTTATCAAGAATGTTATTCTTTCCTCACGTACATAATGTGGTTCTGTGGAGCAATTTCTAATTCAATCCAATTATTATGTAAAATTCTCTTTTCCAATTATCTTGTGTTCTAGTCTCACGCAATGGTATACTCAGGGAGCTTGAACTACCTTGAAATAAGAACGTATGACAATACAAGCTCAAGGTTTTTCAGATCCCTGGGGGAGGTAGGGGGTGGTATTGGTATCATAACTGACGAAGGGGAGAAAGTCTTCAAAACCCAAAGGATGAAATTCCCAGAGAAATTTTAGGACTCATCACTGGTGGTAGTGGGGCTAAATTGAGAATGTCCAGAAATCATACCATATAACTAATAAAATAAATAGTATTAATTAAGCTTCTTATTAGGTTTCAGGCACTCTCCTAAATCCATTGTATAAGACTTGTTATTTTATGAGTACTTATGACATTCCTATATTAGAAATACCATTTCATCTTCATTTTGTAGGTGAAAACATTGTGGTTTAAACAGATAAAAGGATTCAGAGAGTTAAGACTCAGTTTTCCTCGTGGTACAGATTAGGAAGATTAAGCAGATAAAGTCACTATAGGTGGTAGAGGTGGAAATTGAACTAGGAGTTGTCTGAGCTCTTACTCATGTACTCTAATGCTTCCCCATAGCTTAGCTGACATACGCTCAGGCTTCATTCTGCTGAAAGTTCCTATGGAATAGAAATAACTATGGAATAGAAACATCGCTGAGGACAAGTTATTACAAAACACATTTCCACTAGAATTATGCATTATTTTACGGATTCTGAAGCACACGCTCTAACTAGAGTGATTTCCATGAAAAGTGATGATCGTAAAGGCACCAACTCACAACCACAAGGGAATTTCTGAATCTAGTGACAGAGCATTTCAGCCATCAGGATTAGGTATCTCACAGGTTTCTTGCCTCTTCAACCCAAGTTCTGCAGCTCAGTCTTTTCAACAAAAAGGATGCTTCCATTTTTTAATTATTACATGTGTTTTTCCTCTCCACTAATTTTTTATACATTTATTAGCATCTATTATGTGCCAGATGATGGGATCACAGTTGGAAAAAACAGTCATTTCCTCTGATATGCCCATAGTCTGGTGAGGGAGACAAGGAGTGTGAGGTTGCTGTGAGCTAGGATGATGCCACGGCACTCTAGCCCGGGCAACACAGTGAGACTCTGTCTCAAAAAAAAAAAAAAAAAAACCCTACTACCAGTTAATGCCAAAGCAGGAAATCAACTGAGTTGTCCTGTCTCCTAATCAAGCATGTTTTTGTTTTTGTTTTTGTTGTGTGTGTGCAAACATTTGTTCCAGTTATAGCATTTCTCATTTTCTAATTTAGGCAGAAATGTACCAAGGCCAGGGCAAGGGATTTGTCAGTGTGGACTGAGAGACTATGGCACTTCCCAAAAGTGTGAAAAATAGAGGATCCAAAGGCCTTGTGTTTGGAGATAAGGATCATTTAAAAAAAAAATGACACTTTGACAATTCAGAAATCTTACAAAACAAATTTCTCCAAAGCCCTCTGTTCCCACCATTTCTGGGTAGAAAAGAGGGACAGAGCTTGCCATGTTTGCATACACAAGGAAGTGGCTTGTACCCGATTACAGAGTGAGTCACAATTAACTTACACTTCCCTCTATCACTCCTCATCAAAGCTTGATTTCAGAGCCAATCGTGTGTTGTGCTCCTGTCTTCTCCAAAAGCCCTATGTGCATATTAATTACACTTCTGTGCTCCTGACTGTTGCCCTACGTTTTGTTGCAGGTGAACTTCAGATGACATTTTGAGCAATTACAGTCTTCTAAGATCAGAATTAGATCCTCAAGAAACCTCCAGGTAGATAATTTGAGCTCAGGCTAACCAGAGACCTTAGTTTCATTTCATTGCAGCCCAATAATCTGTTACTTCTGGGTTCTGTGTAACTCAGCTCAAGCCCATTCTTAAAGTGAAGGTTTTGATGGCTTGGATCAAAAGCTTTTATTCTGTTGCACAGGGTCTATTTTGACAAAATTAGAAAGATAGCAATGCACATAAAAGCATAAATTTAGCCACTAATGAGATATTCTAGCAACAATCTGCAATACCAAGTTGAAATAGTGAGTTTTCTGAGTATATTTCAATATGCTGTGTGAAACATCATGATTTTTGAGACATTAAGAGTTGTTTCTACCAAAAAAGGTGCAGGGCAGGGGAGGGTGGTGTCTTTGAATGCACCAATTAAGCAATGACAGAGAACTTTAATACATTACTATGCCTGGTCGCATGTCCAGATAGTATGTGGAATTTCCAGAAGATATTTGATCATGAAGCTATTTTTGGTAGAAGAATAATTACTATCTGTTCTCCTTATCTATATTTTTGCCTGACAGTGTCACATATTTTAATGTTCATAAACATTCACAAGTATTGTTAACCCTCACTCAACAGTTCTGGGATTTTCCTGGACTTGGCTAGGACATTCTTGCCTTGGGTCTCTCATGCAATTGCACTCAGTCAGTTATTGAGTCTGGAAACATCTAAAGGCTCATTCTCTTGCAAGTCTGGTGGCTGTTGCCTGGGACCCAAGCCAAGTCAGGCACAATCTGGACCTTTCTCACCAGGTCTCCGTATGACCTGGGCTTTCCCTCACAGCCTAGAATCTGAGTTTCAAAAGCAAGTGCCCCATGACAAACCAGGTGGAAGTCATATTGCCTTTCGTAACCTAGCCTCGAAAGTCATGCAGTGTCATTTCCACCACATTCTCTTCTCTGGAAGTCAGTGACTGGGTGAAGTCCACATTCAATGGGAGGAGAATTAGACTCCCCTCTTAATGAGAGGAATGCCAAAGAATTCGAGAACCAATAAAGGTCTGGGCATGACCCTGAGGCTAGTATGCATAGGGAAGCTTTATGACCTATGACCTCAGGGGAAAAGGTGAGGCAATCCTTAATAAGAACCCAGAGACAGGGATGCTGGCTGGAGGACACCTCCTGGCAGAAGCTGAGCCTTCCATAAAGGAATACACCCAGGTGTGTATACTCCCCACCTGGAGTCCGGATGAGGAAGCCCACAGCTCCTGGCCATAGGGGATCAGATGGGTTGACTGAGGGACACTCTGGTGATAGCTGGGAGACTGGGGAGAGAGTGCAGCAAGGGTATTTTCCATTCAATTCCTCTGTGAGCCAGCTGTATTCCACAGGATCATGCCCAAACCCTTATTGGTTTCCTTAAGCCCTGCCCACACTTCTGTAAACTGTCCTCTTATTAACCTCTTCCCAATTTATCTAGTTTGAATATGCCACCTCTTTCTTTTTGGGACCATAACAGATATATTTTTTGGTTTTCTCCAGATTCTCTTTATTTGCTTGGCTGTTTCCTCACCTGTAAAACCAAGGTCCAGCTTCTCTCTTGCCTCATACTAGGCTATCTGGTGATTTCTACACTAGATACAGGAGCTCCATCAATATCTAACGATACTCACCATCCTACCCCACCTCGGGCTGCCTCTCTTGTCCTCCGACACGGCCTGGTGAACACACCTTCTCTACAAGCCCAGCTCCCACACACAAAGCTCCGTATTCTCTGGAAGGTTAAATTGGCAAATACAGGAAAAGAACTGCTTATATAAATATTCCAGCAATAATTACTGAAGTGGGTCTAAAAGAGAGGATGGAAAAGAGCAAGGGAATGTCGAAGACATCCTCTCATCACCAAAGCAGGGAGCAGTTGTCCCGGCCAACTCCCAGCTCAACTATGCAGAAGACAGCAGGTGGACACTTGACTTACTGATCACAGACATCTCAGCTGGGAGGAAAGGGCTCTGAGAATTTTTTGTTGTTATTCTTGAAGATAGGCTTTAGAGAGAGAGAAACAAGACCACGATAACATTGAGTATCTGAAATGGGAGGGGATGAGGGGAACAGAGAATTGTTAATGAAGGCAAAATATTACAGAGAGGCTGGAAAAACCAAAGATAAAAGGATCAGTTTTATAAGAGCATTCACTTCCTTTTAATGTCTAGGTCAGTGATATTTAACTCTTCTTTGGTTCCTAAAACCCTTAGAAAAATCCGAGAAAGGCTGTGGAATTTACACCAGATAAATGCAAAATAAAATAAAATAAACAACATTTTGCATAGACTTTCAGGTGGGGGTTATTGATCCCCCGAAGTTCATTTATAGACCCAGTTTTAAAATCAGTGTTCTGGACCATACACTGGTGTACCTGCCATCATCACCCCCTCAAACCAACCAGCCAGGACACAGGGAGGCCCTGTCTTCAGTGAGCCTCCTACATCTGTTTTCTTTGTCAGGAAGATCTGCTAGGCTAGTGAACTGATTCTGGAACATTGTTCCATTCCCTAGAACACTATATTCCTGAATTGTATCTATTAGTACTTTTCACAGCCTGAGAAGTTCACTACAAAAAGTAAGGAAGTCAGGAAAGTATAGGAGACTGACTTGCAGATTTGGGTTCCAACCTCAGAGCAGCGTGACTGTGTGACCTTAGGCAATTCAGTTAACCTCTCTTTGGCTCACTTTTCTCCTTTGTAAA